TGGTAGGGCCTCCCGATAACTTCCAACATTAATAACCAAAAGGACGTAAGCAACATGCTAAGCAGCTCACCTTTAGGCAGTGGGCGCCTCCTGCCACAGAGTGCTGGGCTGCAGCCAGTACAAGTGGCATTAGAAGGTCTCCAATTGCTGCCTATCAAAGCTACTTATTGAAATACCACATCTGCTCTCAGGGCTGGCACTGCTGATTTTTGGAGGTGCTGATGAGTTTTATTCTTGTTGAATCTCCGGCATTCTCCCAACACTTGCCAGGATCAACAGTTGCCTACATTAAAGAAGGCAAACGATGACTATGAATGCTGCTATGGGATAATGCTAGGGATTTCCACTTAACAGTCGATGATAATAAAGTCCAAACTCCTTGACATGGCCCTTCAAATAAAAAATGTTCAACATCTATATGCATCTACCATGTGCAGGCATGATACTGGAGAGAGAGAGAGAGAGAGAGAGAGAGAGAGAGAGAGAAAGAAAAAAAAGAATGAAGAAGAAGAAGGAGGAGGAGGAGGAGGAGGAGGAGGAGGAGGAGGGAGGAAGGAAAAGAGGGAGGGAGGGAGAGCGAGAGAAATGATGCAGGAAGAAGAGGTCAAGATACCAAAGCACTCTGTGTGATATGGTACAAGAACCAGCTGTACTATTCTGGCCATCTCCACATACTCCCACCCCTACACCGAATAATACTGTCATCCTCCTGTGGTTTGCTCAGAGGCCTCTCTGTCTGCGTGGAAAGCTCTTTATCAACTTCTGAGCCTTCGCTGACTCCCGCTCCCAGACGGGCCACGGGCCATGTTGCTTCTGCACCTGCACTCCACCTCTGTCCTCCTGCTGGCACCTTGGCGGAGCCCTCCCTGCACTCTGCTGCCGTCAGTTGTCTGCCCTTCTCCCTGGAGGATGAACTCCTGAGAGCAGGGGCCAGATCAATTTCTATTTTTCTGTATGTAACCCTAGCTCCCAGCACAGTACCTGCCCACACAGCAGGTACTTGGCAAACATGTGCTTCATAAACAAATAATAGCATTTTCGAGAGGAAACCAAAGAAAATAAAGGGCGAAAGAAGAAACTCTGTTTTCACTAAAAGGGGAACTGGACAATATACTGGGAAGTAGTCTGTATCTGATTGCCAATCAGGAACCAGGAAAATAATTCTACCCACAATAAAGATTTTTTTTAAATAAATGATGCTAATCTTGAAAAGGCTTATAGTATCATTTACTCTAAAAGCAATTCTGGTCAAAAACACAATGTGCTTGCCAGGCCGATGTTGCTCAGTGGTTGAGTGTTGACCTATGAACCAGGAGATCACTGTTTGATTCCCAGTGAGGGCATATGCCTGGTTGAGGGCTCCATCCCCAATAGGGGGCGTGTAGGAGGCAGCCAATCAAAGATTCTCTCTCATCATTGGTGTTTCTATCTCTCTCCCTGACCCTTCCTCTCTGAAACCAATAAAAATATAATTTAAATAAACACACCACAATGTGCTCAAATGAAAATCCCAAAATAGAAAATGCTGGTGGTGCTAGAAATAAGATTTGATTGTTCCCCCCTCTTAATATAGACAAGGTTGCAAGGAAATCTAAATTATTCATTGTACATAACTCTAGCCAGGGCTAGGTGGTGGTGTTTTGTCACTCAGCAGAATTATATTCAATGGACTTGAAGTTTGTGGAGAATATTTAAAGAGAGATCCAGTGAATTAAGATCCCAAAGAGTTGCAATTATTATCATAATCAGAGTGATTTTAACATATATATCAGGATATCTAAATGGATATTGTCTTAGGGTAATGTCCTTGAGAGGCCATTTTTTCCCAGTGATGCTGCCACAGAGCAAACCCTTTAATGTCTCCTCTTTTGGAGTCATTTTCACAGTCATTCATGAGCCACCCAAGATTTGTGAGAAGCTCACATGAGACTATTTACTCTGGGTTGTTCCAGTGAGAAAACTAAAATTTATAGGCTGTTTTTTTCAAGAGATCAGTTTACAACACAATAGAAATAAGAGTTTTGTAATAACTGAGCCATCCAACAATGGAATGAATTTTTGGTAATGCAAAATTTCCACTGAAAGTGTTCAAGCAAAGGCTAGGTGACCACTGAACAGAAGTGATAAAGAGAGCATCCATGTATTTGAAAGTCCCTTTGAGTTCTGATCATCTGTGATCCCAAGAATATCTGAGTATTTTTATAATCACATTAAATGTGTAGCATTATAATCTGTACACATCAAGCCCTTACTTTTCCAGGTCTATGCTCAAATGTCAGTTACTACAGAGATCTTTCCTACTTGCAATATTATTCCCACAATCTCCTTTCTTCCCTCTTGCCCTGCTCTGTTTCTCTCCATGCAGCTTCTGTCTGACATGCTCTGTAGTTACTGGGTCATTTATATGCTGTCTGTCTCCCCCAACTAGAATGCAAACTCCATCAAGGAAGAGATGTTGTTGGTTTTCTTCACTGCATTAACTCCAGCACCTAAAACAAAATCCGACATGTAGTGTGTGTTTAATAAATTGTCAAATATAAACAATATTAAAGTGTTGCAGAAAAATTAAAAACAAGAAAGAGAGACAGAAAGGAGAGTAAAATACAATTCCCCTACTTTTTGTACATAAATTACATACCTTCAAATTTGCACATATCATATGGGCCAGTACATAATTGTTGAAGAAATAAACTTGTGCTATCATTTTCATGTGTTTTCTTCTCATCTTTTTTTTTCCAAAAAACACAAAGGTTTTAATATAGTTTTAATCATAATTCATTGTTTTACCTAAAATGTCATTATACAGATGAATAACTAATCTTCTTCACCACACTTGGCTATAATGATTTGCTGTCCTTTCGAAACACCAAACCATTTTCACATAAGGTAAGATGTGTTACCACTGAAGCTATGCAAAAACATATGCTCAGGCCATAAAAAAATCCAATGAACTCATCATTTCTAATTTCATAATCATCTCTCTCATTAGAATCATTGAAAAGCGTTGTAGCTATTTTTGGAGGCAGTATACCATAATGAGTGAAGATAATAATAGTTAAAACATTTTTGCAAAAGAAAAAAGTTGGAGTACTTACACTTGCAATTTCACTATGTACAACAGAGCTATCATGTGGTATTGGCATAGAAAATATATGCAGATTCATAGATCAGATTTGAAAGTCCAGAAAGAAACCCTTACATTTGTGGACAAGTAATTTTCCACCAAGGCACCAATGCAATTTAATAGTATTTTTTTAAGTGCTAAGACAACTGGATATTTGCATGCAAGATGATGAATTTAGACTACTATCTTACACATATGCAAATATTAAGTCAAAATGGGTAACAAGCTTAAATATAATAACCTAACACTATAAAACTCTTAAGAGAAAACATAGGAGTAATTCTCTCTGACTTTGAGCTAGGAAGTGATTTCTTATGACACCAAAAACTCAAGCAATAATAGAAAAATTTGATAAATAGAACTTCATCAAAATTAAGAACATTTGCTCTTCAAAAGACACGAATAGACAAGCCAAAGAATGGGATAAATGATCTGCAAATCATATATCTGATAAAGTCCAGAGTATATGGAAAATATATGTCCCAATAAGAGACAACCTATTTTTAAAATCAGAATAAAATCTGAATAATTATTTTACCAAAGAAGACATAAGAGAGACAATGAACACATGAAATGATTCTCAACATCATTAATTATTAGAGGAATGAAAGTTAAAACCATAATGACATACCATTTCATACCCTTGAAATGGCTATAATCAGAAAAAAAGCAATAGCAAATTAGGATGTGGGGACACTTGAACTCTTTTCAATTGCTGATGAAAATGTAAATTGGTGCAGCCATTTGGGAAAATAGTTTGTCAGTTTCTGGAAAAATTAAATGTAAATTTACCATGTAACTCAGCAATTCCACAACTACATACCTATCTACCCAAGAGAAATGAAAACATATGGCCACATAAACACTTGCATATAATTGTTCTTACAGCAGCATTATTTATAATAACCCAAACCTGGAAACAACCCAAAAGCTATATATTTTATCACATTCATAAGATGAGTATATGTATATATAATTTCAAATTAGCTTTTCTTCCGTTTTCAGCCCAGACACAAATATGAGTGCAAATGCTAGCTCTGTGGCCCTGGGCTAGTCACTTGACCTCTATGAGACCATATTAGTGAAATGTGGGAATAATAGTTACCGTACAGAACTGTAGAATTAAATGAGATGAACTATATAAAACGCTTAACACTAGGCTGGCACAGTGTCAGTTCTAAACAAATCCTACCCAGTATTATTGTTTGTCTTTTCGGAGTTTTATTTGCAAACCTAGGAGTTTCCTAACACTCAGGGGTGAGGAGAGGGGAGCCATTTTGCGCCGTGGAGAGGGCCACTTCGCAGTCTGGCTGGCTGACTCCCAATCTGTCACTTCATCTCTCAGAGCCTTGGTTGCCAAAGTCTGTGAAGGAGGACACTGTTCGTCATCTCGCCGGACTTGCTGTGATTAGGGAAATTGTATTAAAGTGCTTTGTAAACTACACAATGCCATAAAAAACCTAAAGTGCTCTGTGAGCATAGCTGTCTGTTCCCATCGCGGCGCTTTTAGAAGAACCTGAATAACCAACTACTGCACCCCTCAGATTAAAAGGACCCCTTTCATGGCCACGGGGGTGGCAGCCAGTCACTTCAACATGAACTTGTATTCCCCTGTGGTTTGAATACAAAGTGAAAACCTGTGCCTCTCCCTGTCGGAGACCGCTCTGCCTGTCCTCAGGAGCTATCAGGCGCAGCTAAATCTGTCCCTGGCCAGTGTGTGCATAATCCCCACTGGTTCTGAGACCTCCATCCACCACTGATGTGACATTCTTTGTGTTCAAATGTCTAGCTGACGTCTGATGCTTAAAACAGCCCATGCCTTCACCCCCGCCGCATTGTCACAGCTTGTATCACCCTCTTAAAAGGCTATCGCAGCCGCTCCCAGCACCAGTTGCTGGCCAGCCTGCCCCTGGCCGCCTCGCCTGCTCCTGGCTGCCTTGCATGCCCGGGTCCTCAAGCTCCTTGTGCGTCTGACCAAACAGGGACCATGTCTACCTTCGGCTACAGGAGAGGACTTAGCAAATATGAATCCATCGACGAGGACGAGCTCCTGGCTTCCCTGACGGCCGAGGAGCTGAAGGAGCTGGAGAGGGAGTTGGAGGACATTGAACCTGATCGCAACCTGCCAGTGGGGCTCCGACAGAAGAGTCTGACGGAGAAGACCCCCACGGGGAATTTCAGCAGGGAGGCGCTGATGGCCTATTGGGAAAAGGAGTCCCAGAAGCTGCTGGAGAAGGAGCGGCTGGGGGAGTGTGGGAAGGTAGGCTTTCCGGACCTTTCCTTGGCTGCTCCCCGGCCCCCTCCACCCCCTCCCCAACCCTAGGAACCTGCTTTCTCTGCCTCTGCAGTCCTCCTCACTTTTCTGTCCTTATAACCTGCTACTGAACACTGTCTCGGCCTGAAATAGTCCTGTAAGTTCTATGGCCACCCGAAGGATCGTAATCTGTAAAATGATTGGCTGGGGTTCTAATAATTGGCTAAAGATGGAATCTTCAAGAAGAAAATAGTTCACAAGTAAGGCATAGGTTTAGATAGTTTGCCAAACGTAAGTCTAATTTGAGTTATAAGCTAGGTATGTGGCATAGTATCGGTGTCTGAGGATATATATATATTGCAGTTAAGTAAATTTATTTTCTTCTTAAAAGACAAAAATGGGTCCTCTTATTGTGTTGACTGTGATGTGGCTACAGTAAAAAGATTTCTTTTTCTCCAACACCAGGAAGTGTGGGGTGGCTGAGAAGAAAATAGTTCACAAGTAAGGCATAGGTTTAGATAGTTTGCCAAACGTAAGTCTAATTTGAGTTATAAGCTGGGGATATGGCATAGTATCTGTGTCTGAGATTTTATATATATGTATTGCAGTTAAGTAAATTTATTTTCTTCTTTAAAGACAAAAATGGGTCCTCTTGTTGCGTTGACTGTGATGTGGCTACACCAGGAAGTGTGGGGTGGCTGGAAATTACATGGAACTGAGAGTCAGGGGACCTTCTTTCTAGTCCCTTCTGTGTCTCTAAGTTGTTGGGCAGATAGTCACTTAAGCAGGCTCCTCTCTCCCGTCTGTCCATTGAGGGACTGGGAGCCTGTGGTTTTATTGTCCGCATATGAACCAAAACCCCTTTGAAATTTGGGTCCGTTGTGGACCTTCTCCTTAAGAAAATGCACGTGCGCTTGTGCGCGCGCACACACACGCACACACAAACACACACACACACACACATTTCTACACAGAATTTCAAAAATGATGACACGCATCCAAAGCCCCCTGAGGGCCCAGGTTAAGCCTGCCTGGGTAGACAGCTCTAAGATTCCTTCCTACTTTACAGTCGCGATGCTGGGCCAGAAAATGGACTTCTATCAGAGCGCAGGCCTCCTGAGCCCTTGTTCTCTGCCCAGTAAACGTTTCTTTAAATTTGCCAAATGAATCATGAAAAGGAGCTCAAAAGACGATGGGAAAATGGTAACGGCGATGAGAAGGTTGATATAGCCAATTTCTGAACTTCTGGAAGAACATGGGTCAGGAGGGATAGTTTAAAACCTCTGTGCTTCACTACAATCACCTAAAAGCCAAATGGCCTGGAGCCCATGGGAAGACTTCCACAGGACTAATCTAGGCGCTGTTAGCTGATCTGGGTGATAGGGTGTGTGAGCCACATTTGTAGCAAGATATGTGTGAGCTTTGCCCATGTCAATCACCGCAGGAAGGGTCACTGGGATCAGGCCGGTGTCTGCCAAGGCCACGCTGGCCGCCTGCACGGAAGGCCTGGAAGGGGAGGTGACAAGGAAGGACACCCATGACAGGCCAGGATTTAAGGTCAATTCCTCCACAGCCATGCTGTTCAGGGGTCTTTTTTTTTTCTTCCTGGTGTGGGAATGTGCGTTAAAACATATAAAATATGCCCTGTTTATGACAGTTATTCAAGAAATTCCTTCATCAAAAGATTAAAGGTGACCCAGAAGATGCAGGACAGACAGCCATTGTAGCAATAACCCCGCAAAGGCATTTTAATGCCATCATGTCTTTAGCTTGGTGGGTGGGAAACAGAGGGCGAAGCCTGCTGTCAGCGGTGGGTGGAACCCACCTGATCCCGCCAAAGGTTTGGCTGATCCCCGCCAGTGGCTTATCGAGTCAATTAGAGAGGCTGCCGTGTTGATGAACTTTGACTCCTTTCTGGCTAATTTTTCTCTCACTACACTTTCCTCGCTGGCCAGCTGTCCCTGTAGTCACATGGAGTGCTGGGCAGAAGCTTGCTGATGGAGAGTGTAAATCCATTCCAGCCACAGGGAAAAGCTCAAAGCAGACGATGGGT